TCAACATGAGATTTAGAGGGGACAGGCGTTCAAACTACACTGGGGGACTGGATCCATGTGAAACTTCTCTGGGTTTGCTAACTCACTGGTGCTTTTGGAAGCTAGGCACCTAGCCCCCCACAGAGGCTGGGCGATAGCGGCTCTGTCTTTAGGTGTTGGCTAGAACAAGCAACAAATTCTTGGGGCAGCCTTGAGCTTTCTCTCAGGCAGCTATGTGAACAGTAGGGGTAGGGTCATGCCGGTGAAGGGGCCTTGAGCTGTTAGAAACTGCATTACTGTTTGTTCAAGTCTTGACAGGCCAAGGATGAGACGCGTGCATAACTGGGCTCAGAGGAGCCTGGCTAGAGCTTGGTCGCGGAGAAGATCTTTGTCACCTGGCTAGAGCTTGGTCGAGGAGAGTGACAGGTGAAGCTGGCCGGGCTTCTGGGTTGGGTGGGGACTTGGAGAACTTTTCTGTTTAGCTAAAGGATTGTAAATGCACCAATCAGTGCTCTGTGTCTAAATAAGGTTTGTAAATGCACCAATCAGCACTCTGCGTCTAGCTAATTGGGTGGGGACTTGGAGAACTTTTCTCTCTAGCTAAAGGATTGTAAATGTACCAATCAGTGCTCTGTGTCTAGCTGAAGGTTTGTAAACACACCAATCAGCACTCTGTAAAAATACACCAATCAGCACTGTGTCTAGCTAAAGGTTTGTAAATGCACCAATCAGCACTCTGTAAAAATGGACCAATCAGTACTCTGTAAAACGGACCAGTCAGCACTCTGTAAAATGGACCAATCAGAGCTCTGTAAAATGGACCAATCAGCAGGATGTGGGTGGGGCCAAATAAGGGAATAAAAGCTGGCCACCCAAGCCAGCCCCAGCAACCTGCTTGTGTCACGTTCCCTGTTGTGGAATCTTTGTTCTTTTGCTCTTCACAGTGAATCTTGCTGCTGCTCACTCATTGGGCGTGCACTACCTTTATGAGCTGTGACACTCACCGTGAAGGTCTGCAGCTTCACTCCTGAAGCCAGCGAGACCACGAACCCACCAGGAGGAGCGAACAACTCTGGACGCGCCACCTTTAAGAGGTGCAACACTCACGGTAAAGGTCTGTGGCTTCACTCCTGAAGTCAGCAAGACCACGAACCCACCAGAAGGAAGAAACTCCAGACACAGCTGAACATCTGAAGGAACAAACTCTGGACACACCATCTGTAAGAACTTTCTCACCGTGAGGGTCTGCAGCTTCATTCTTGAAGTCAGTGAGACCAAGAACCCGCTGGAAGGAACCAATTCCAGACACAAGAGGATCTTTGTTACCTGGCTAGAGTTTGTTGGAGGAGAGGATCTTTGTCACCTAGGAAATAGTCAGGGCTGATGTTGCAGGCATTGTTCTCTCCTCTCTTGCCCCTAGTTCTACCCTTCACTCTCGAGCTTCAGAAGACCCGGCTTCCGACTTTGTGAAGGTGATGGTTAACAGCCTGTCCCCAAGCCAACGTTGTCTTCTTTTGGAGGAGGAGGGGGGTCTTCCCTTTTTCTTGGCACTAACCTTGGTGCAGAAATCAAGCTGTCTCCTGGCCCCTGGAGAAAATGAATTCCTTCGAACTCCTTTAGATGAAGAATTACTTCAAGAAGGGCCAGACCTGGGACTGCTCTACACGAAAGCAAATTGTTCCAAGATTCTTGACACAGTAAGTCGATTTTGCCTGCTTTTGAGCTTTAGATGAAAGGAATGACATAGATGTTCTGTTTGGCTTTCTGCTCGGATTAGTGTTTGTGGGATTCATTCATATTGTTGCGTGTTATGATGGACAAAAAAATTAAGTTCCCTGGAAGCAACAGGAACAGGCCTCAGTGTCAGAACTGCAGATGGTGGGGTGTGATTCCCACAGCCACCCCTCGGGCCCTTCTGAAAATCAGCCCCTGCTCCTTTAAAAAACTTACTATTACAAATTATCAAATAATTATCATATAAATTGTTAAAAAAATTGAACAATATAGAAAGGTAAAAAGTATGAACCCCTTTCTCTTGCACAATTTATACAAACCCACTTCCCAGTAATAATCACTGTTACTATTAACAATGGCTAACATTTATTGAGTAGTTACCATGTGTAAGACATGTTTCTAAGCATTTTACAGTTATTAAGATTTATAATGTATTCTTAACATTCTGTGTGCATATACATACATCTTTTTTGTCTTAAATATACTCTTGTAATGTTAAGAGATATGGACAATTTTCCATGTCACTATACACAGTTTTTTTTTTTTTTTTTTTTTTTTTAGGGACATAGTCTTGCTCTGTTGCCCAGGCTGCAGTGCAGCAGAGTGATCATGATTTACTATAACCTCGAACTCTTGGGCTCAAGGAATCTTCCCACCTCAACCTCCCAAGTAGCTAGGACTACAGAGGCACATCACCACACCCAGCTAATTAAGATAAAATAAAATAAACAACTTTTTTTTAAGAGATGGGGTCTTGCTACATTGCCTAGGCTGGTCTCAAACTTCTGGACTCGTGATCTTCCTGCCTTGGGCTCCCAAAGCGCTGGGATTTCAGGCGTGAGTCTCTGTGCCCAGCCAACTTCATTCTTTTTTGTTGTCGTTGTGTGTTTTTTACCTAGAACCACCTGAATAGTCATACTTCGCTCTTTATAGCTGTACAGTTCCTATTGAATGAATAGGACACAATGATTTATTTAATAATTCCTCTGATAAAGGACATTGCATTTGTTTCTACTTTTTGTTATTACAAGGCAATGCTGCAATGGCCATTATGTTAGTCCATTTTTGCGTTGCTATAAAGGAATGCCTGAGGCTGGTTAATTTATTAAGAAAAAAGGTTTTATTTTGGCTTATGGTTCTGCAGGAAGTACATAAAGCATAGTGTCAGCATGTGCTTCTGGTGAGGCCTCAGGAAGCTTCCAGTGGTGGCAGAAGGTGAAGTGGAGCTAATGTATCACATGGTGAGAGAGGGAGCAAGAGAGAGAAGGATGAGTTAGGCTCTTTCAACTACCAGCTCTTGTATGAACTCATACAGGGAGAACTCACTCATTATCCTGGGGATGGCACCAAGCCATTCATGAGGGATCCACCCCCATGACCCAAACATCTCCCACCAGGCCCCATCTCCAGCGCTGGGGATTACATTTCAACATGTGATTTGGGGGAGCCAAACATCCAAACCATGGCAAGCATTATTGCCAAAATACACACACACACACACATATATATAGTTTTTAGTTTTAGTTTGTTTTTTTTTTTTCTTTTAAGAGACAATGTCTCACTTTGTTGCCCAGGCTGGAGTGTAGCTCACTATAACCTCCAACTCCCGGGTTCAAGCAATCCTCCTGCCTCAGCCTCCCAAGTAGCTGGGACCAAAGGTGCGTGCCACTGTACTCGGCTCTGTAAGATTATTTTGTAGTGACTGTTTACTCCACTAGAATGTAAACTTCTTGAGGGGAGGGGCTTTATTTGTTGCCATATCCCCAGTACTTTATTCTTAGTGCCTAGTATATAGTTAAGTGTGTAAAATACTTGAATGTTTACTACTTTATACCCACCAGATGGACATGAATGAAGCTCGAGAATACCAAGTGCTGACAAGGATGTAAAGCAAGAGGATTCTAGTATCCTGCTGAGAGTGAAAATTAGTGCGTGTGCTTTAAAAGCAATGAGATAACTCAAACGTGAATATTCTAGCACCAACCATTTTCATTCCTGACATATATTCGATATACTTTCGCACAGGTGCTTTAGGAGAAATGTACAAGAATTTTATTGTAGCATTCTTTGTATTGTACAAAAGCACTATACAAAATTGTTCAAAAGCATTGTAGAATTTGGTGTATTTCTCTCTCTCTCCACACACGTATCACAGACATTTTTTAAAATTCTGAATCATTTGGGAATAAGTTCACGACATCATGACCAAATAAGAAAGTTGCAGGATTAACATTTACAAAATATTCAAAATATGCAAAACAGTACTATATTTATAAATACATATATAACAAGCAGAAAGATGGGGGTAGGAATAATAAACACTGAATTCAGGCAAGTGGCCGCCTCGGGGACAGGAAAGGAAATGTATTCAGGAATGAATACCTGGAAGCCTCACTATCTGGAATTTTTTTTTTTTTTGAAACGGAGTCTCGCTCTGTCGCCCAGGCTGGAGTGCAGTGGCCGGATCTCAGCTCACTGCAAGCTCCGCCTCCCGGGTTCACGCCATTCTCCTGCCTCAGCCTCCCAAGTGGCTGGGACTACAGACGCTCGCCACCTCGCCCGGCTATTTTTTTGTATTTTTTTACTAGAGACGGGGTTTCACCGGGTTAGCCAGGATGGTCTTGATCTCCTGACCTCATGATCCGCCCGTCTCGGCATCCCAAAGTGCTGGGATTACAGGCTTGAGCCACCGCGCCCGGCCTGGAATATTTTTCTTAAGCTGTGTTGAGGGTACATATTTGTTATTGGCTGTACCTTTTTTGCAAGACTAATATATTTCATAATTTTTTAAAGCATCCATTTATTCCTATTTTAATGAGAGTTCTTAAAAATCAGGAATGGGCTGGGTGCAGTGGCTCATGCCTGTAATCCCAGCACTTTGGGAGGTCGAGGTGGCTGGATCACCTGAGGTCAGGAGTTTGAGACCAGCCTGGTCAACAAGGTGAAACCCCATCTCTACTAAAAACAAAAATTAGCCAGGCGTGGTGGCGAGCGCCTGTAATCCCAGCTACTCAGGAGCCTGAGGCAGGGGAATTGCTTGAACCCGGGAGGCGGAGGTTGCAGTGAGCCGAGATCGCGGCACTGCAGCGCAGCCTGGGCGACAGAGGGAGACTCCGTCTCAAAAAAAGAAAGGGAAGAAAAGGAAGAAAAGCAAGCAAGCAAAGAAGCTCAAAGGTTCTTGGCGTGGGCCACCGGCAGGTTTTCTCGCACTCTCTTTGCGCCACCCCCACGTGCAACAAGAAAAAACGGCTGCCGCCTCCAGCTTCCTGCAGGGCTACAAGATGCGCTGCGCGGGGCGGCCAGAGCCGTGCGGGAAAAACGGCAGGAGGGAACTATGGGCCGCGGCGGGCGCCTGCCAGGCTTGGAAGCGGACTCGCATCCAGAGCCACCGCCCAAGGAAGCCTCGCGTCCGAGGCCTCCCGGGCAAGCAGCTGCTCTGCGGCTCCGGCGCCAGACGGCGTGGGCCTGGCGCGGCGGCGCGCGCGGGGTGAAGGGAGCGCGGCGCGCTGGCGGCGGCGACGCGGCGGTTGCTGCGCCGGGTACTGGGGTCGCTGCCGGAGGCGCAGGCGCCGTGGACTCAGCGCGCCCCGGGCCTGGGCTCGCAGTGGACTCGTCATGGCGACCGAGCAGAGGCCTTTCCACCTGGTGGTGTTCGGCGCCTCTGGCTTCACCGGCCAGTTCGTGACCGAGGAGGTGGCCCGGGAGCAGGTGGACCCGGAGCGGAGCTCCCGCCTGCCCTGGGCGGTGGCGGGCCGCTCCCGGGAGAAGCTGCAGCGGGTGCTGGAGAAGGCGGCCCTGAAGCTGGGTAAAGGGGCGGGCGGGACGGGGCTGCGTCGTGGCTGGGCCGGGGACCCCGCGTCGCCCCAAACCAGCGTTTCTCCGCAGGGATGCGTGTCCCCGAGCCCTGCGTGAGGACAGGAAGACGAGAGGGAGGGATGTTTCAAGTATTGCCACAGCTTTGTTCCACATCCTTAACTATATGTGTGTGTGTGTGTGTGTGTGTGTATACACACCAGGGATACACACTGAATACACACACACACACACACACACACACACACACACATTTCCTCCTGTTTCCCGCTTTTGCATTTCTGTCTCAGTTTGGGGAGTTCCCCTGGCGAAATGGCCAAGAACTTGAGTTGCCCCTTTCTCTGCTTCATCCTGCCCCGCAGCAGGGGCACCTGTTGAGTCTGCGGGTTTCTTAATATTTGGTCGGAGAGGAGGGGAGGGCTTTGGTCTCTTGGAGATCGGAGTCTCCCTTTGCCTCGTGTTTTGAGGACGGGAGAGCAAACTTAAGAGTTGTATTGACAGTGTCTTTGTGGCTATTCTGTTTTAGTTTCTTTTTTGTGTGTAAGAATACTCCAGCAGTCTTCCTCTGCAGAGAATAAAAAGTATGTATTTCTGGTTTAGACGCTTACTTATTCTAAGCATTCAGGTAGCATATATTTATTGATTCTCTAAGCATTCGGGTAGCATATATTTATTGATTCTCTAAGCATTCAGGTAGCATATATTCATTGATTCTCTAAGCATTCGGGTAGCATCTATTTCTTGAGTGACTTTGTCCTTGCTGAGACCTGTCCTGAGTCTGGGGTGCAGGATGGGACAGAGAGGAGACAGACGCAGGGATCCTGCTGCCTTTATGGCTGGGGAGACATCTGACTTACGACTCCGTAGCCTTTAAATTTGGCTGTTAACTCCCCACCGTAGATTTCCCTTACACAGACACCCGTTAGAGTTCTGGAAATACTACATTCTTTCTACTTAATCTACTTTCGTACAATGCCCTGCTCGGAGTGCTTTTGTTCGTGGTTATGTACAGAAGACACCACGTAGGCTGGAGTCTCCTACAGCTTTTGATGCTGATACTACCAACACGTAATTCTGACCAAAGAGCTTTTTGGTCGTTATTTTTCCAAGAGAAGTAATTTCACTATTAAAATATATGCTTCCATTTCTTTCTCCGGCTCAGCAAGATCGTACCGGTGCAGCCTAGTCAATTACCATATATAATGCCCAAATCCAGTTCTATTGAAACCTGCATCACTTAGTTGAGCCAGTTAATTCCAGTTATTTTCTTATGAGCCTGTGTGTTTATGTAGCGTGTACTTTTCACCTTAGAGTTCTAATTTTTTTGTTTCTTTGTTTTTTTGCCATTCTCCTGCCGCAGCCTCCCGAGTAGCTGGGTCTACAGGCACCTGCCACCACGTCCGGCTAATTTTTTGTATTTTTAGTAGAGATGGGGTTTCACCATGTTAGCCAGGATGGTCTCGATCTCCTGACCTCGTGATCCGCCCGTCTCAGCCTGCCAAAGTGCTGGGATTACAGGCGTGAGTCACCGCACCCGGCCCTAATGGTTTTGATGTTAACAGTCAGTCCAAGACTCTCCATCATCTACAACTAAATCATACATAGTAATTGTTTAGTAGTTGATGAGGAACTTTATTTTTTTAAAGACAAGGTGTGATTCTGCCACCCAAGCTGGAGTGCAGTGGCATGATCACAGCTCGCTGCAGCCTCGACCTCTGTGTCTAAGTGATTCTGCCACCTCAGCCTCCTGAGTAGCTGGGACTACAGGCGTATGTGTAGGAACCTAGTTTTTAGATTCCTTCCTGGGCAGGGGTCGTCGTGAGAGACCACTCGACACGGAAGTCAAAGTGGAGAGATTTATTGCTAGCGCGCTAGGGTCCTATGTCCGAAGTTGGCCACAGGACCCCGAATGCTTGTTACAGACAGTTTATAAAGGCAAAAAACCACAAAATTTTACAAAGCTTGAGGCGCAAGATGATTGGAGCAGGTTATGGCCTGAGCGAGATGTCTTACTTTAATTGGTTGGTTTGAACCTGGTTTGAACCCGCGCGGGGTATTTCCCGGACTTGTTCTTCTGTTTGAGTTCCAGGAATATGGGTGGGTGTTTTAGATAGCCACACGGACATCAGGCGGGTGCTTTAGATGGCCACCTGGTCGTTGGGTGGGTGCTTTTAGATAGCCACCTGGTGTGGCTTTTCTAAACTTCTAAGTTTCTAAGTCTCTAAGTCTCTGAGCTTCTAAGTCTATAAATTTAAAGGTTTTTAAGTTTCTAAATCTATTTTCATTCCCTCCTCTTTTTGTGACCAAGAGGCTCAATCTTGAGCCTCCTCTTCTGTCCTGAGGGCTTGGTACTGTTGGGTTAGGACCATAGCCTGCACAATGTTTAACTTATCTTTAATAAAGGCGAGTAAGCGGTTAAGTATACACAGCCCCGAAAGTCAGGATGAGCATGAGTAGGATAAGGGGGCCTAAGATAGTGTAGACTAAGGTGCTGAACTAAGGGGACTGGTTGTACCAGCTTTCAAACCAATTTTGTTGAGACTCTCTTTCTTTTTTCCGTTTGTCTAATCTTTCTCTTAGTTTTGTCATAGAATCTTTAACCACTCCTGAATGGTCTGCGTAAAAGCAACATTGTTCTTTGAGGGCTGCACAGAGCCCGCCTTCCTTTAAGAAGACAATTTCTAGTCCTCGCCGGTTTTTTTTTTAATACAACTTCAGACAGAGAGGTTAGAGATTCTTTAAGTTTTGAAATAGAGTGTTCTATGGCTCTAAGGTCTTTATTTATGGCTGCCCTAAGTTGTTGCAGATGGTAGCTACCACGTACTAAAGCTGCTGTTCCGGTCCCAACCCCAGCTGCTACCCCCACTCCTAGCATTACAGCGAGGGTGAGTGAGACAGGTTCCCTTTTGGGTCTACTATAAGCTTTCTGTTCATACCGGAGGTCAAAGGAGTTTCCAGAGTGATAGTATACTCGGGGAACAACCTGTACTGACATGCAATAGTCTGTGCTGCGGTTAAACGCTGCTGTGGATACACAGGGAGTGAGTCCAGTGTTGCAAGCCTACCAGTCTGTCCCGGAAGGGACCAAATAGTGATTGGAGCTAGGCACTGTCAGAGTCTTGTCACAGAGATGCTGATGGCTAGTGGGTACCTTTTCTATACAGATTCCTGACCCGGAAACTTCAGCCAGGGTCAGCTTTTTATGCTGATCCTATGCACATCCAGTAGGATTAGTGGAGTTGGTGAAATTATTAGTGGAGGCAATGCCCTCATAATAAGGGGGGGCTGTCGCTAGGCACAGCCAACAAGAGGAGGTGGATTCTGGCCTGGTCTGGTTCAAGGCAAAGTAAGAGCCCTTTATGAGATTAAGGAGCCTGTCACTTAAGCCCGGAGAACTCAAGGGCAGGGTAGTGCCTTGAGGGGCCTTTGGCTGAGGGCCCTGAGGGGCCTCCGGCCGAGGGCCCTGAGGGTCCTCTGCCTGGGAGCCCTGAGGGTCCTCCGGCCGGGGGCCCTGAGGGGCCTCCGGCTGAGGAGGCCTTGCTTCTGGTAAAACTGGGTTTTGCCCTATTGAGACAGGAGCTGAGGCAGGGCTAACTGCTAGTCTAATTTGGATGGGGATCCTAAACAGTGGCTTTTGGTGTAAATATAGGCCCTATATTAACCCTGACATCTAGCGGCCATCAGATTTCGCTGCTTTTTTGAATTTGATGCAGACCAGATTACAATCAGCCGAATACCGGGTTCTGGTGCAGGGCTTAACAAAGGACATGGATATGTACCATGGTGTTGTGGCCTATTTCCATTCTCCATCATTAGTAGTTACACAAGTCCAGCTAGCACAATACAGGGAAGTTATATCCCTGCAAGTTTGTTTTATTTCTCCTGTCCGGAATCCGGGGCAGGCATAGAACCCGTTCCGGCTTATGGACACCTTTCTAGCCTGTTTTCTCTATACTCCTCCTTCCATGTTATTTACCCCTGCTACTTTATCTAGGTTGAGATAAAGGTCAGGAAACCAAGTTCCTACAGGGGCAATTTGTGAAGTCTCATATAGGACTTCATGGGTATTAAAATTAGTTACTCTCCAGGTTAGGTTAAAAGGTTGGTGGGGGTTTTTGGTGTCAGCGACGCGAGGAAGGAGGGCTAGTAGTAAGCAAAGGGTTAGGTACGAGAGAGTCTTATCTTGAGGGGGTCCTCGGAGCGACGGAGTCTCCATGTCTCAGGTGGTCCGGGCGTCTCTGGAGCAGCCTTGGCGTGGGATGCGTGGATCCAAGTGGCGATTCCGTCAACCTTTATGGCTGTGGGTGTGGTCAGGAGAACAATGTAGGGTCCTTTCCACCGAGGCTCCAGTCCTTGAGAACGGTGTCGTCTAACGTAGACGGAGTCCCCCACCTGGAAGGGGTGGCTGGTCTGCGAATGTCCTGGCCGGTACAGTTCTGCCAAGGGGGCACAGATTTGGGCCTGTACTGCTTGTAGTCCTTTTAGCCGGGCCTGCAGGTCAGTCTTGGAGTTGGAAGGAGAAAAGGAGTCAAGTAGGGTCGACAAAGGGGGAGGTCCTCCGTAGAGGATTTCATATGGAGTGAGCCCAAAGCGGTTAGGCGTATTCCGGGCTCTTAAAAGAGCTAGAGATAGGAGGCGTCTCCAATCTTTTAAGCCAGTCTCTAAGGTCAATTTAGTAAGGGTCTCTTTTATTGTTCTATTTATTCTTTCTACCTGTCCTGAGCTCTGGGGTCTATAAGCACAATGCAATTTCCAATTAATCCCCAGTATCCTGGCTAGCCCCTGACTTACCTGGGAAACGAAGGCCGGCCCGTTGTCTGACCTAATTACCTTGGGAAGTCCAAATCTAGGAAAGATTTCTTCCAGAATCTTCTTGGCTACTATGTGTGCCGTTTCTTGCCGGGTGGGGTAGGCTTCTACCCATCCTGAAAAGGTATCTACAAACACTAGTAAGTACTTAGGTCTACCCATCCTGAAAAGGGGTATCTACAA